TCTTCTGTCATCCTTACTCATTGTTCAGCTCTCTGAAGCATAACAAGTAATTGTGAAGTATGTCAAATGGAGTTTCAGAATCCTTGCCTCCAAGGAGTAGCCTGATTTTACCCTCTCCAGGACACACTTGTTTGTTCTCTTGGCAGTCCATGGTATGTTTAATACTGTTCTTCTGCACCACAACTCAAAGACATTGATTCTTCTTCTGTCTTCCTTAGTCATTGTCAAACTCTCTGATTCATAGCAAGTAATTACAGGACCATGGCCTGGATCAGGCACACCTTAGTCTCTAGACTGACACTGTTGCTCTTCAGTACTCTGGAGAGGTCCCTGACAGCAGACTTTCTCAATGCAATTAATTCATCTTTTGATTTCCTGACTGCTGGTGCCAAAAATGTAGATTGTGGATCCAAGTAGGATGAAAATGTTAACAGTCTATAAATAGGGTCAATGTAAAGGATACTGTAGCTGTCCTGTGGGTGTAGAACATAGATGTTATTTTTCTGTTGCTACTCATACAGTCTTACGTATTTCTAATTTATGGCCCAGTTGTTAGTTGTGAACTTTCCCAATCTATCTACATACATCTGCTCAGCATGCACACAAGAAACCAAATATTTAAACACAAACTATAAATCTACTTTCTGTATGTGGAGTGACTACTATCAGTATCTCATATTAGTGACTGCTCATCTCCTCCTAGTGGTAGAACAAGATATGAGAAAATTATTTTTAAAAAACTACCTGGACTGTCACGAGGAAAGTGAAACCAGGGTGCTCCTCGGAGGCAAGGATGGTGAAACTGTCACACATACTTCAGGTGTGTTGTGAGGAGGGGCAAGCCCTTGGATAGGAACATCATGCTTAGAAAGGAGAAGGGTCAGCACAAGAGAGGAAGACCTTCAAAAAGATAAACACAGCGACTAGAACAATGGGCTCAGTGTGTTGGTGATGGTGAGGACGGCACACGATAGGACAGGGTTCAGATCCCTTATTTCTATGGTCTCTAGTCACAGTTGACTCAGTGGAACATAATAACACAGTATGGGTTTAGGGAGTTCTGATGCCCAAATGGGTAAGGACTTGGGCTGCCAACCCAAAGGCAGGGTGTTCAAAATTCATCAGCTGTCCCAAGGAAGAGAGATGATTTATACACTCCCATGCAATTTAATGCTTCAGAAAACCACTTGAGGGTAAGCTATGAGTTTGTTCTGACTCTGCTTCGTCCAACTCTAAGTCATCCTCTGCCAAATTTATCAAGAATAAGGCCACTATACTAGAAATTCTAAAACTGGTACTTAAACCTCAAAGGCTTTTAAAAGACTTTAAAAAATAAACATTTCTATTTTTTCAAAAAGAAACATGGACATCTACTGTTGGTTCATGCTGTCAAGTCAGAACTGACTCAGAGCTGACTATCCAGTAGCTTTATAGAGGTTCCAAATTGCAAGGGCAGAGATTGTCCATCTTTCTCCCATGGAGTAGCTCCTGGGTTTGAACCACCTGCCTCTGGGTTGGCAGTGCAACTCCCTATCCACTAGACCATCAGAGCTTCCTTGAAAGTCGACTAGTTGGGCATATTTAGACCCTCCATGAAAAGTCCTCATGAGATTGATCAAGTATATGGGTTGGTCAGTGTGTCTCCTTGCTTCTTGTTATCAGTTAACATGAGGTCATCCATGATTAGAGTGGGTCTGAACCTAATATTTTTATAAGATAGACACAGAAAGATAGGGGGAGGGTGACCATAATGTTGCAGTTGCCTGCCAAAGAACTTCTGGGGCTAACAGAAACCAAGAGGCACAAGAGAGGATCTACCTTTAGGGTCTTCCAAAGAGTATGACCCTGCCAACATCCTATATTCAGACTTTGTAGCATCAGAACTGTTAAGAAGGGGGCGGGAAAATCTGTTCTTTTTTATTTTTTTATTTTAATTTTATTATTTGTGTGAGTGTGTATCGTCAAATCAGATCTGACTGGTACAGGAGGCGATTGTCCCTCCTTCCCCAGCAGATCAATGGTGGATTCGAACCGTGCGCCTCTGGTATTGCAGTGCAGCTTCTTGCCACTAGGCCATCAGAGCTCCCTGAAAATCTCTTCTTAAACACCATCCAGTTTATAGCACTTTATTACAACAGCCTTAAGAGACTAACACTCTTACCTGGCAGAGGATTCTCAACAGTTTCCACCCTGGAATTCCTCCCTATTTGGAATACATAGGTCAGCAAGATAGGAATCCGTTTTCAATATAGATGACACAGACACACTCTAGCCTCCAAAATACAAACACAAGGCCAGTCACTATAACCTAAAAAGGGGAGGGTAGGAGGAAAGGAATGGTGAGGGGGCATCCCGTGAACCAGTGTGCATGGAGGTATGGGTGAGACAAGGTGTGATCCTGCACTGTAATCCAGCTCTCTGGGACAGGCCTCCCTGCTCTGAGCCATAGAGCCTGGAAATGCTGCAGTGGGCTTGGGTTTGCAAAATCTCCCACCCTTTACAACAAAGGAGCGTGTGCCTATCACCTTGGCTTCCTCCAAAGACCAGAAACACACTTTATACAAAGGTATTTTATTTTAGTAAACAAAACACTGCAGTTGCAGCAGCTTTTATAAAAGCATACAAAAATTCATATAATTTTAAGTTAAAGCTAAAGGCCAGTATTTTATCTTCTGACACATCATTCAATAATCAAATCTTCTTTCTTCTCAGTTGGAGTTCACCAACAATGACATTTAAATGGGAAAATCTAGAAAGGAAGACCAGAGAGATAAGGCAGAAATGTTTGCTAAAATGATATATTTTACTTAACAATGTTAAACCTTATGTTCAGCCATTTTGACTTAGCAAAAGGGAAGCATCAAAGAGTTATCTATTAGGCATTTTTATCTGTTATCTGTACTTATTTTCAGCTTCAAAACTTACTTTCCCTTTAAAAATCTCTTTTGTTTAAAACATTGTCCCACAGTCAGTACCAAATCTGGTTTCTCTAAGTCCTCTCCCCTTACCTCCACAGCCAGATCTCTGGCCACGTCTGGGTGAGGAATGAAGCTTTTATAACCCCACACCTAATCTCCCCTTTCTCTTCTCAGTTTAAGACACAAAAAGATGGCTATTTAAAATATAACTTCATCTAACACCATTTCCACTAACCCTTTTTAATTTCTAAGGACTCCTCACCCTGATCCTGGTGACAATAAAGAAAATTTTTAAAATCTTAAAAAGCAAGGCTGTATCACTCCTGTGGTGAAGGAGTGATGAGCAGGTGACAAGATGTCAACCTCCCATCTCAGGTGTAAGAAAAACTACCCAACATCATTTTTTAGGTGCACAGTTGCTAGAGGTGTTAGACCTGAGACCAGTTTCTGGTTCTGCTCTTCTTTATATACAGTGTGAATAATTTTTCCATTTATAGAATATATGTACCTTGTAGAGATTTATACAAATTTCTATTACTAAGTATGCCTTTAACCTGATGGGTCAAAAAGGACAATAACGTGCTGCTGCTGAGTCGATGCTGACTCGCAGTGCCTCAGGGGGACAGAGCAGATAGCCTCAGAGATTTCCACGCCTGTCTCTTTCCTATAGAGCAGCTGGTGAGTTCGAACTGTAAACTTTTTGATTAGCAGAGGAGTGCTTAACTACTGGGCCACCAGAGCTCTTTAAAAGTATAATAGAAAGGAGCTCTGGTGGCCTAGTGGCAAGAAGCTGCACTGCAATCCCAGAAGTGCGTGGTTTGAATCCACCAGATGCTCTGTTAGAGAAGGAGGGACAATCTCCTTCTGTACCAGTCAGATCCAATTTGATGGTACACACACAAAAAATAATAAAATAATTTTTTTTTAAAAAAAAAGTATAATAGAGAAATTCATTAAGAAACTCGTAGGGAAAAGTAGTTTTGGAGTATACCTAGCCCAGCAGGTTTTTTAAAGAAATGATGCTCAGATCCAATCATAAACATAAGAGACTATGCCTGAGGTTGGGGCCTAATAAATAAAGAAGTTGAGTCAATACATACATCAGAAATAAGGAGATTGTTCAATGCCACAAGCTAAATCTGTTAATAGGAACTTCATAAAAACTTCCTTGATATTTTAACTGAACATTTTCTGGAAACCCACAGAATATATATAATGTGATAGTGAATGGAAATGGTGATGAGTAGGCTCTCATGCCTGTAAGGGGTCCTGGGAGTTTTTTTGAGGCAAGAAAAGGTCAAGGAACATGTATAGTGGGTACAAGAGGTGGCAAAACTGACCTGGATAAGGACATATTAGGAAGAAACTGGATAAATCACACTTTTTGTAAAGCTCTGGTGGCCTAGTGGTAAGAAACTGTACTATAATCCCAAAGGCACAATATACCAGATGCTCCATGGGGAAAGGGTGGGTAATGTCTTGTGCAATTTACTGCCTCTGATAACCCACTAGAGAGTCAGCTATGGGTCAGTTCTGACTTAACAGTACACAGCCACAACAAATTTGAAGATAAGAAAGTGTCTTAACCTTGCATGTGGGGAAGAGCTTCATATGACCTGGGACTCTCCATGCACTCCTGAAATACTATGCACAACCCTATTGTTTCCAGCATGTGCTTCTCTAGGGAGAAGGTCTTACCCTTTCATTAGAGTCTCAGAAAGAGGCCTGTGGCCCATTACCTACTCAGAACACTGGTTCAGAACACCCAGTGATGGAAGACCGCTGCAGGCCTTAGAGTAGACATGTGGGCTGGTCACCTGTTCCTTGGAAATGGCATTTCAGCAGAGGGAAGAGAAGCTAGTTGGAGACAGGAGGAAACTCAGCAAAACACAGGGCACAGAATCAGGATGCTCATATCACCCTTATTCCGAGCTGTTTTATATGTCCTCACTCAGCTCTTCAGATCCCAGGAATTTGGAATTCTCTGAACACATGACCCCCACTGACTAACCTAGCCTAACGCCCTGTCTATTTCACATCTGCAAAGCCATAGTACCTTTAGTTTCCCTTTTAGTTTCCCTTTTAGTTCTCTTTCTTCTCCGATTGCTTCTTTTCAGCCTCCAGTCTTTGTATTTTGGCGTCTAATCTTCTCTTTTGGTATAATTTGACTCCAGCAAATGTCAGGCAGAGTATTAATGTTTTTGCTGCCAAGATATACAGCAATACAGGCACGTGGTCAAGAACCTTAAAGAAAAAGAGAAAAATCCCAACATTCTAAATATTTTTGCTATCACTTGTTATGCCTCAGAGAGTTGGACAGTGACTAAGGAGGACAGAAGGAGAATTGATGCCTTTGAGCTGTGGTGCTGGAGAAGAGTGTTGAGGGTACCATGGACTGCTAGGAAAACAAACAGATTCATCCTGGAAAGGGTTAAACTGGGTGGCTCCCTGGAGGCAAGGATTCTGAGGCTCCGTCTAACATACTTTGGACACGTTGTGAGGAGAGACATGTCTTTGGAGAGGGACATCATGCTTGGGAGGGTGGAGGGACAGTGCAGGAGGGGAAGGCCCTCTATGAGGTGGATTGATTCAGTGACTGGGGTAATCGGGATGGGTGTGTCAGAGACAGTGCGATTGGCACAGGACAGAGCAGAGTTTAGGGCTGTTGTACATAGGGTCGCTATGAGTCGCAAGCGACTGGATGGCACATAACAACAACAACAACATTTGACTGTGTGGATTACAATAAATTGTGTCTAACCTTGAGAAGATTGTGAATCCCGGAACACCTGCTTGTGCTCATGCGAAACCATACTTAGACCAGGAAGGAGTCCTCAGAACAGAGCAAGGAAACACTGGATGGTTCAAAATCAGGAAAGGAGTGTTGCAGGGATGTGTCCTGTCTCCGTATCTTTCAGTCTATATGTGAAACATATCATTCAGGAGGCTGGGCTCTATGAGGAGGAATGTGAAATCAGGATTGGAGGAAGACTCATCAACAACCTGCATTATGCAGATGACACAACCTGGCTTGCTGAAACTGAGCAGGACTGAAGCATCTGCTGCAGAAGGTCAAAGACTATAGACTATAGACTATAGACTATAGACTATAGACTATAGACTATAGACTATGGATTGAAACTCAACATCAAGAAATCAGAGATTCTCTCTGCTGGGCCAATTGGCAGCACCTGACACATGGGGACAGGTATGTCAGTGAGAGTGGTTCAGGATAGGGCAGGTTTCAGAGCTATTGGGTATGGGGTCAATATAAGTCAGAGGTGACTCGATGGCACACAACATATAAATGGAATGTTTCCTTATTTAAAAAAATCTTTGTTTTTAAGTGCTATCAAGTCAACTACGACTCAGAGCAACCCTATGAACAGCTCTGAACCCTGCCCCATCCTGAGCCAGCCTTACCTTCTCTGGCACCTTTGGCCCCATTACTAGTCATTCTGTCAATCCATCTCATCCAGGGTTTTCCTCTCCTGCGCTGTCCCTCCATCTTTCCAAGTATGATGTCCTTCTCTAAGGACTGGTCCCTCTTGACAATACGCCCAAACTTTGTTAAACAGAGCTTCAAAATCCTTGCCTACAAGGAGCAATCTGGTGTACTCTCTCCAGGACAGACATGTTTGTTTTCTTGACAGTCATTGAACATAAGATACGTTCAATACGATTCTCTAGCACTACAACTCAAAGGCACCAATGTTTCGGGTAAATGTCTACTGAGCATCTACTCTGTTAAGAGGCTCAGGGTTAGGTGTTAGGCCTTCACTATTGATAAAGTCAAACATGATCACTGTCCCATGAAGTTGTCTTAATTCAACTCAGGTCTTTTTACTACCCAGTTAGGACCACAACTCCACTACAGATGTAATAATGCTGATCTTTGACAATTTCATCATGCGATCTGCCCATCATTTAAGCCTCTACTTCTGAGGTAGCAGTGTGGTTCAAGCAAAGGAACCAGTAGTTAGGAAAAGAAAGCAAGGCTGTGTCACCTGTACAATGCAGGTTTTGGTAAGTCATCCTCCAACTCTGATGATCTGTTCCAAATATAGACTGAAAAAGATATGGAGAAAGGCTACACCCCTAACACATTTCTTTCTTAATTTTGAACTGTGCTGCATTCCCTTGCTCTACTCACTCAAGAGCTTCCTAGTCTAGGTATAGGTTGTGCAGGAGCAGTTAAGTGTTCTGTGATTCCCATTCTTACCAATATTAGTCACAATTTGTTGTTATACAGTCAAATGCCTTCTCATAGTCAGTAAAACACAAATAGACATCTTTTTTAAAGACAGTTAAAAAAAATGTTGTTATGCGCTGTCGAATAGTCTGTTCATAGCAACCCTATGTACAACAGCCCTAAATCCTGCTCTAGCTTGTGCCAATCGTTTTGGCTCTGACATACCTACCCCCCTTACTCCAGTCACTGAATCAATCCATCTCATAGAGGGTCTTCCTCTATTGTGCTGTCCCTCCACCCTCCCAAGCATGACATCCCTCTCCAAGGACTGATCCTGCCTTGTAACATGTCCAAAGTATGTCAGACAAAGCTTCAGAATCCCTGCCTCCAAAGAGCAGCCAAGTCTCTCTAGGATGAACCTGTTCGTTTTCGTAGCAGTCCATGGTATATTCAATACTCTTCTCCAGCACCACAGGTCAATGGCATCAATTCTCCTTCTATCATCCCTAGTCATTGTCCAGCTCTCTGAAGCACAGCAAGTGATTGCAAAGACCATGACCTGGATCAGGCACACCTTAGTCTCAAGACCAATCTCAAAAAGCTTATTTTTCTAATAAGAAGATCAGTTTTTAAAAAAATAATTTTTGTAGTTATTGAGACTCAGCAAACACATTTGCTAATTCAAATTTCTACAAGTACCATTCAGTGACAGTGACTAGATTCTTCAAGTTGTGTAACCAATTCTTCCCTACCTTTTCCACCCTCATTAACACAAACTCACTGCTCCTTAAATTTCTTGCCTAAGCTTTCAAATTACTGTTGTTGTCAATTTGATACCAGATAGACAGATCTTAAAAGAGCAGTATGCTCAAGGCAGTCTTTATCAGTTCAGGTAGCTTTAGGCAGCTGTGGTGGCCCAATGCTAAGAAATTGTGCTATCATCTCAAAGTCACATTGTTTGAATCCACCAGGGCTCTGTGGGAGAAAGATGAGCAATCTCTTTCCAAGCCATTTACCGCCTCTGAAAACCCACAGGAGGGTCAGCTATAGGTCAGTTCTGACTCAAAAGCACACAACAACAACTATGTAGTTTTAAGAAGACTATAGGGAATATTTTAGTTTTATGCCTTTTTAAAA